ATAGAGTTCTATCTATACTATAAAAGGGAGTACTTAAAGGGCAGGTTAGATGCACAATCCATTGGTAATGATGCTAAGACCAATAAAGGTTGCAAACCAGCAGCAGCAGCAGGAACCTGGCTTGAGATACATGCTACCACTACCTGAATTGGGAAGTTAGCAGTGCTAGCAGAAACCTGGCTTGAGATACGTGCTAGAGAGGCACTCTTCAGGCAAACCAAAGATGGTAGCTCAAAAGGAGCAAACGACCCGGTGGACCAATTTGGGAGTTGTAAAAATAGGTTATGAGACATAGGGGGAATATGTAGGTTATCTAATATAATTAGTAATGAAACAAAAATTCAGGTTAGGTGTGAGTGGGACACAATACAAAACTCTAATAGGTTTAGGTTGCAGATAAATATGTCTGAGTCCTATGTCTAAATAGATATATAGTAATAGATGATGTATAATAGATTTGTACTAGCTATAACAAGTATACTAATAAAGACTAGAGGGCATGACCTCACCTTAACACCGAAAAAAAAAAAAAAAAAAAAAGGTTTAATTAGTAACTGTCTTCTGTCGATCAGTTAGCCTTATATAGCTGTTACTCAGGTATACCAAGTTAGGTCCCTTTAACATTGGGAGCTTAGACATCTATGTGAAGTGTAATGTTACATATATATAGAGAAATGTTTACTAGTGTTGCATAAGACTTCGATGCAAACTCATGATAAGACCATCGGGTGTAGAAAACTAAAGAACTGAGGTAACAAAAACCTACTTGAAAATCTTCAAATAAAGAGATAGTATAAACATTCGATGGTACTATCAGACTAATTGAAGCCTATGAAACACCTTTATAGAAGCCAAAGATTAAAACTAAATATCAAATATATGTAGAGGAGCATATAACCAACCAGGCTACTGGATTCACCAGAGGAAAAGAATACATAAGTATACCATATTAGGCCATCTGAATTGGTAGTCTAAAATGAAACTAACAGTTTCGAGTTGTAGCTAGTAAGAGATAATAAAGAAAATGCCAAAAAGATAAGTACTAGGGTTCTAGTAAACTTTACAAGAATAGAAATAGTATAATGTAGTAGTTAAACAAGTAACCTCTGTGACTGCAAGTGTTAGGTAACTATAGCATGTTGCATAAAACTAGGTCTATATGTGTAGGACATAAAGGCTCTAGTAAGTTTTCTATCAAGGATAAAGTAGTCCTAAAGGTAACGATAAGTATCAGAAACTTAGATGGATGTAGCTTTGAGATGTTCTTGTAATACAAGAAGGATTGCATATGCAGAGGGTTTAAATAGACAAAACTCCTAGTTGGCTTGCAGTATGGCAACTAATGTAAAACTTATATAGCAATGTGTAAGCAAACTACTTAAATTAGGCACCAAAAGTGCATGTGTGGCTAGTTGTAACCTCTAATGTAAGTGAGCTCTTGGAGGCATCTATTTCTTAACAAAACTTGAATAAAATATCACATCTCTAAGATAAGAACTTTAACTAAAAAAATAAATAAAAATAAAATAGGTTTAATTTAGATTTTTTGAATTTTATAAATTTTAATTATATTATTAAAAAGTTTTATTAGAAGTTTATTTTTGTTTTTAATATTTTTAATATAAAACTTTTTATATATATCAAAATTATATAACAAATAATTTAAATATACTCTATTCTTAATAATACTAATAATAAATTTTTTTTTTTAATTTTAGTAGTCACACTAGTACTTTATTAGGATTCTTAAAACTATACAAATTACATAAAATTTTTTTGATATATAAGTCTAGCATTACTCAGCTATCCAAATAGTATTTAAGTATAACCTGCTGCACTATTCTAGTTAAAGATAGACTGCTCATCTGACTGTCATTCTACAATAGAACATTGCCAATCTGATAATATCTTTTCATAAGAAAGCAAAAAACAAAACAAAATTTTTATATAAAAAACAAAACAGAGGTATAAGGTAAATGATAAAAGATACAAATCAAGAAATAAAAAAGGAAAGTGAATAAATATGAAAAAGAAAATGTATGCAACTTGAAATTTACAAATATCAGATGGTTACAATTGTATGCCTTTGTCAGACTTTTAAAAATTATAAACTATATTAAATAGAAATAACTCTATTATTTTTTTATTTACTTAGATTATTTAACAAAAAACCATATAGGAAAAAAAAAATTTTTGACTTGATTATAGAAGATTAGTATAGAGCACTAGTTAGTCTGAAGGCAGTATTTTTAGGTTTTTAGTATTTCAAGACATGTATATAGTCATGTTTATATTACTGTATTGTTTCTGATCTATGTTATCAACAAACCTATTTAGAAAATAAACATTGCTAATTATTTTGGTAGTTTTACATATTGATTTTTAGAAGGTAAGCTAAATTATCCACTTTTACAAAATTTTCTCAAAGCAAAATAAAGGTAAAAGGTGAACCAACTTTGTAGCTTTTGTAGGTTCTTGACCTTTATAAATGTTTCTTGCGAGTTTTACAATTATATAGAACTAATATATCCAACTTTATTGTTTGCTTAATAAAAAACTTTGGCTTTTACTAACTACTTCTTCTATAGTCCCAAATATGTTTAAATTATTACCACAAAGCTGCAACTTTATTTTCAACTCTATTTTAATGTTCAATTATATGTATACAGTATTTTGAAAAAGTTTTTATAAAGTTTAATATATTAAGTATATTATTTTTTTGTAGTTTAGTTTTTTGAAAAGTTTGGTTCAAATAATTGTCAGAAAGAGTTTGGACTATTTGCATTAATAATAACAAATTAAAATATACTAAATTAAACTAACAAACTAATAACAAACTATATAGATAAACACAATTTTTTATATTATTATTATTATTTTTTTTTTTTAAGGTGACCTCTTTGGTCTTTTGACTTTTATTAATCACTTATCAGTATTGTGGTTCAATGAACTACTACAAAAGAGCGTACAATTGGTTACACATGTAACTTTTCTATATTATCTATTTAAAGAGTCTGCCTGAAGGTTTTCTACTAATTGCTATATCTAATACTTCTGTTTGGATGTTCTACTTTAAACCCTCTAAACCTGTAACCTGTGTTAATATTACTAGTCATCTTAGATGTATCAGATCATCGTCCTCAACCTTAGGACTAAATTATCCTTGAGATAAACCCTTTAGAGCCTTCTGTACCTATTTATATAGCTAACCTAGATATCACTATAGCAGAACCAACACTTGCGGTTAGGGCTAACTATTAAACTGCTATGCTCTTGTAAAATTCACTTAGACCCCAGCATCTATTTCACAGCATAACCCTGGTACTTTAGTATACCTCTGCTTTTTCTTCTGTCCTTTTATCAAACTCCCAATTCAGATAGCCTGTGTAGAACTATGACTAGTCTATCGATATATCAGGTTGACCTGATATTCTTTTCTTCTGGTTTATTCTGACAGTCTGATTGGTAGTAACTCTGAGACTCCCAACCTGGAGGTTCTTGCCTGTCTGGCTACTAGGACCGAGTACTAGACCTTGGTATCCGTTTCTCTAAACTAGTCTTTACAGTAAGGCTGTCGAAGATCTAGTTATCTCTTTATTTAGGTTTTTCCAAATGAACTTCTTATTATCTAATTTTAACAAATTTATATGGCCACAAGGACTTATCTAGTGTTTGCATTGCCCGATATGTCAGTTTGCATTTCTTTATGTAATTCCAACATTGCACAGATGCTCCATGACCTGCCAGTCATGTTGGTACGATTGTTATTACAGATATCCTAATCCAATCGTTAGTAACAGTTGCTGTAATACAAATATTACATAGATAATTATCTAAATTTTCACTATCAATGGAATTTGAACACCCAACCTACCACTTGAGGGGTTAACAACCTGACCACTTTACTAAGGCACCACACCCCTCACTTTTAATTTTTTAATAAAATTAAAAACCCAAAAATTTTTATATAAAATTGAGAATACTATTTTATTTGATCGATAAATACAACAATTAAAAAAAGATTTTTTATGCCTATTACGATTTCTGACTTTGAAGCTCTAAGATCAATAAACAACATTGCAATTTGTTATCTACTCAGACAATGTGTACCAGGTTAGTTTCTGAACTATGAATCAAATTTTTAAGATTAATTATAACAATAATATAATTAAAAAATTTTGTTTATTTTGCCAAAAATTGCTTATAATTCAAAAATTAGTATAAGAAGCCATCTTTTATGCTTTAACAAAAGTTTCATCTAATAATTTTACTATTACAATTACTTTAATCCTGATTACAACTCTAATCCTAATAAATTTTAAAATTTTTGTCTACTTTACAACTTGGTATACAGTTTCTGAATATGAAAATTCTTATACAACTTTAAGTTAATAAATCAAAGCTTACATTTACTAACAAATGCCAATATTAGAACAGTAACTTCAACAAATTATGACACCTGTAAACAATGGTTTTGATAAGTGACAACGTAACAAAAACAAAAAAATTTAATATTCTAAAAAAAAAAAAAATCAATTAGTATATAAAAAAAAAAACTAAACTAAACAAAACAAAAACATTATCTTAACTATTATCCAAGCAAATGTAATAAACTTTTTTTTATTTTAATTCTAAAGATCTCTAAAATTAAAATAAAAAAAAGTTTATTACATTTGCTTGGGTGGTTATCGAGATACTTTTGGTTAATTTTTAATTTTATGTACATATAGTATATATACGATTTTATCACATTGTGATTATTGATATGCATGTTTGGTCACGTGGGTACAAGGCTTTAGCGGATTCCTATATACAGTATTCCTGTAGAATATTCCAGAATTGATGTGTAACTATAAAAATTAATATTTAATTCTAGCCAATCAAAATTTCATCCTACACCTGATCTCAAGGACCAATGAAAACGGAGAATTATATAAGTTACATTAGGAGTTAAAAGAACACAGTAACCTTAAGAATACAACGCTTTCGTTATAGAAATTATGTCAGGGCCAAACCATTCTCACACACCTTATACCTATGATCCTACAAGTTATGCTTCCACAACTAACACAGCTGCTTCATCGACTGGCGATCTATCCCAATCATATTATGGATACGATTATGCAGCGTATTCCTCTAGTGTTCCATATCAAAGCAACACAAATACTGGCGTTTACGATGGCTATGATTACTCTACATACGGTGGTAGTAGTTATTATTATCCTACAACAGGAGTATCATCCGCACCAAAAGCATCTACCGCGACTGTGGTTGAAGCACCTCCAGCCATTGTAAACACTGTTTCCATGTCTTCAAATTCAAGCAAATCTGGAATTATTCATCAACAAGATAGAGGAATTAGCTCTGGTATCCATCAACCAAAGGACGACATTGTAAGCGGGCATCTTGACATGCAAAGCGGGATCAATAAGCAATCTGCTTCAAAAAAGAAACCAAAGACAATTATTAGAGCTGCAGGAGGTGAAATTTGGGAAGATCCAACATTATTAGAATGGGACATTAGTATGATATTTATTTACAATTTATGTTTTTTTTAAAAAAAAAAATGTTGCAGAGCACTAAATTATGTTTTATTATAGATGATTTTCGTTTATTTTGTGGTGACCTTGGCAATGAAGTCACGGACGATATCTTATATAAAGCATTTAGTAAATATCCATCTATACAAAAAGCCAAGGTTATCCGGGATAAACGTACTAATAAAAGTAAGGGATACGGATTTGTAAGTTTTAAGGATGCGGATGAATTTGTCAAAGCTTGGAAAGAAATGAACGGTGAACCACATGAATTTTTTTTTGTTATCATTAGTTTGTTTTTTTTTTTATGGATGCTGAGAACTAATTTTTGTTTCTTGATAACAGGAAAATATGTGGGTAATAGACCAATAAAATTACGAAAAAGCACATGGAAAGAAAGGAACATAGATGTTAAAAATAAAAAACACCATCCTTACAAATAGAAATGATAAGACATAGTATCACTGATGAAATTATTTGAGTATGTAGTGATGACTAATACGTTTATTATTTGTAATAAAAGAATGATAATTTTAGATTTGTATAAGGCTATATTATTGATCTTTTTTTTTTTTCTATATTGGAAATCATCGTCTTGAATGCTTTTTTTCAATTTTTTTTTGACGTTTGCTTTGTTCCTGTGGAGCGGTTCCTTCATCACCTAAAAACATACTTGGTTGTATGAAAAGCGTCCAGATCTTATACAACGCATATAATGGTATCTTTTGATAAAAATTTAATACGTTAAGATGAGATCGGTAAAAAAAAAAAAAAAATTCTTTGGAAGTTTATGACTCACCGATAAATAGAAAAACCAAACCCATTCAAAGAACATGCTCACAATGTGAACAGCCCACGTTACATAAATTATATCGAACATATATCTATATGCAATCAATCCAAAATGACAAAGTTACGATACATCCATTGGATAATAATTAAATTAAAAAGAAATACTTGCTCGGTCAATCCCCTGGAGTTTAAATCATTGCCTGGCCATTCAACATTTCCACTAGGCCCAAACCTCGGTGATCCATGTGATATGATTTTCATCCATAAAAACATACTAATACCCGAAGTAACAAAGTATAACACAGCGATCCAACTTGTGAACGTTTCGTAATGATATAGAATTCTGAAACAAACATAAATCACCTGCATAAGTAAAAAAACGCAAAGCAAAAATAAGTTTTAACGTTCGCAGTTATATCGATATTACTGCTATTGTAAATTTACTTACGTTCACGATGATGAACCCCCATTTAAGATTCTTAAGACACTTGAGATTCTCTTGGGCAATTCTTTTATCGGATTGGTTTGCCTTTTAAAGTAAATATCATGTTATTATTAAGTAAAGGTTGTTTATAACTTTTAAGTTCTTACCATTTTGACTTAAATCACGATATAGAATCAAAGTAAACTCTCGAAATTTACTTTTTATATTTATGTGAAATTTAATGGTAGCACAGTTCCAACCGGTTTATCGTTATCATTTATCGTTGTATGATCATGAATACGAAATCTTTGATCTTGTACTAAATTCCCAGTTTATAACATGGTTAGTTTTTTTTTATCCTTGATTATCGGGATTATTTCATAATTCATAAAATATAACGATGATACGTTACTTTGTTGTTTAACTGGGATCGTAGAGACACTTACTTGTATGTTAACTATAGGTTGTCCTCGCAGCGTCAATATGCACAAAGGGCGGGAAAGGTATTTTCGGCAATCGTTTGTCCTAACAAGATCAATTTTCTATAATTATAAACATTTTTTTGCTTTTATGAATTGCAGGCGTGATTTCTCGGCAGTTTAGAGAGATGCCACGTGCTAGAATCGAAGGTCTGCTTGCATCTTTCCCAAAGTTAACTAGCGCTGGACAGCAACATACTACAATTGAGACTGAACATGTTCGATATGTTTATCAGCCACTTGACGAGCTTTATATGGTTCTTATTACAAATAGACAGTCCAATATCTTACAAGATATTGAAACCTTACATCTGTTCGCTCGTGTGGTTTCGGATATATGTCATTCAACTGACGAGAGAGAGATTTTAAGAAATAGCTTCGAATTGTTGAGTGCTTTCGATGAAATCGTATCCTTAGGGTATCGGGAAAATGTCAACCTCGCTCAGGTCAAAAGCATTACGGAAATGGAAAGTCACGAAGAAAAGATCCAAGAAATAATAGCAAGGGTAAATATTATATATATATATTTATATATTAAATATAAAAAAAAAAAATGAAAACATAGTATTTTAATTACAGAATAAAGAGCAAGAAGCTAAAGAAGAATTAAAAAGAAGGGCTAAGCAATTGGAAATGCAAAAAAAAGAAATGCTCAAAAGAGGAAGTGGCACTTCGTTCGGAAGCAGTTTTGGTCAGTCTATTAATAGACCGTCTTCTTATTCCGAACCACAAGTGCAAACATCCTTTGAAGAGGGTATACGTTCTACGTATAGTAGGTATGATATCTATATAAAAATATTTTTTGATCTTAATTCTAAAAGTCTATTTATTCTAATTTATCTTTTCCTATCTAGTTCTCCAACGCCATCACCTTCTAAAGCTAAGGGTATGCAATTAGGCCGAAAACAGAAGGGTGCGGATTTGTTTGAGGCTGTTAAGAATGAAGTCGGATTTGATGATGTATCCGAAAAGACTAGTGTTAAAGGCACATCTATTCCAAAGGTCCCCGTTGAAAGGTGTGAAATCTTCAGTTATCTTTTTTATGATATAATAAATATTTGATATGGTTATAATTTATTGAGACGGTTATCCATGTGATCTTTGCAGTGTTCACTTATCAGTCACTGAAAAGATATCTCTTCAGGCTAACAGAGACGGTGGCCTCGAAAATTTAGAGGTAAAAGGAGATTTGGAACTTACTATTTCCGATCCAAACATGACACGAATCAAAATTTCTGTTCGTGCAGTTGATGATGGCAATCTGCAGCTTAAGGTTTTTTTTTTTACTTTTTTTCTGTTTTTCTGTTTTTTTTTTGCGCTTATATATTTTTATATAAAACATAATAATAACTGGTTTTTCTCTTTATTGGAAAATCTCAGACACATCCGAATGTTGACAAGAAATTATTTTCTACCGACAGCATTATTGCTTTGAAAAACCCTGGTAAAGGATTTCCTGTTAATCAGCCATTGGGTGTTCTCAGATGGCGATTCATTACAAAAGATGAGACATTAATTCCGTTATCAAGTATGTATAATATAAATGTGGATAAATTGACGTTTTAATTTAATTTTCTATTGATGCATCTTTTATTTAGTAAATTGTTGGCCTTCCCCTGCTGGTGATGGAACAATCGATGTTAATATTGAATATGAATTAGAAAGTGAGAATCAGGAATTTAAAGATGTAGTGATCTCCATTCCATTGCCGTAAGTATATCCTTGATATGTCAAAAGGCTAGTATATTTATCTAATACATATATATATTTATCCTGCACTAAAGTCCTGGTGGAAATCCTGTTGTTGGTGATGTTGATGGCCATTATGAAGTAAATAGACAAACTAGAACCCTAGAGTGGCAATTGCCTATTATCGATGCGTCTAACAAACAAGGGTCGCTTGAGTTCAATATTGCTGGCGATGACGTTAATGTGTTCTTCCCTGTTGGGGTTTCCTTTATAAGTGAAAAATTGTTTTGTGACATAGAGGTAAGTTAACTTAATTAAGCATTTTATGTAATTGAATTTTTGATTTAATTTGCAATTGTTTATTTAGGTGTTGGATGTACTCCATACTGAATCAGGAGCTTCTGTGACATTTTCTAAAGAAGTGATTTTATCGGCTGAAGAGTATCATGTTGTGTAAAATTAGATATTTATGTTCAGTGTCATAACTAATTTCCTGGATATAAAACTGATTGTTGAACTAGTTTTTAAGGGGTTGAATTTTATGAATGATCATTTTATTAATACATGTGGATTTATGAATTATTTATTACTCGTAAGACTAAATTTATAGAGATAATAATAATAAAATTTAATGTCTTATAGCGTATCCTCCATCTAGTGATCTTGGTTAAATTTTATGACCAATTAAGATTCAGATCGAATATGCTCGTAGGATCTCTTGCGGTTAGTGGTATAATACGAGACCAAGTCTTTATGCTATTCGCAGTTATCCGCATATTTTTTGAACGTATTGAACGATTACACAGAATCCGTACGGATGATCAACGATTCGCATATAACGATAAATGATTCGCATATTCGTGTACGGGTTAAAAGATTTCGTACAAATAATATCTTTATTTTTAGTAGGGATTGGAACCGTTATTCATTTAACTGTATTTGACCGTTTATTTATGTTATATCGATATGGTTAAACGAGTAAAAATATTATAACGGTTAAATCGTTTATTATAAACTTATGCCCCGTACAGGGTTACATCAACGTGATTTGTATTTAACGGTGCGATAATAAATAAAAAATCTTCGCAAAACATTTTTATAAAAAAGTAAATAGTTAAATTTTTATTCTTTATATCTTTTAATATAATATAAATACATTTAATATAATTTTTTATTAAAATATCTCACGACTGACGGTTACAACATAATTATTACAAAATTACTTCATACACTCAAAACTGCCGCCAAAATTGGGATATTCACTATTTCAGCCAAATTTATAAGGACAATCCCGCTTTAGCGAAGCCTAAATCTAAAAAAAAATAAAAAAATCGTAAGTTATCGAAATAAGCTTAGTAAGTGTGGATAACGCGAAGGGATGCTTTAAGCATAGTTTAAACTTCGTGGAGTCTGAAGGGATGCTTAGAGCATAGTTTAAACTCCAAACCACCATGTTATAACAGATTACTCTGTCATCATCCTAACCGGGTATTAATCTTTGACAAAGAATATTTTAAAAGAACCAAGCGGAGTTTACGTAGGTTCTCAAGCTTTGCTTGTCAGATTTAGTTCCACCCACTACAAATCTGAACTTTCTTGCTTCTAATAAAATATTCAATGAAAAAGACAATTGACGCTTTTAAAATGATCTAACTTACCAAATATTATAAAGACTTCTTTCTTCGAGAATAAAGCGTAAAAGTTTGTAAATAAAAAAAAACAAACAGTACGTAATCAGAAACCACGAAAAATATCGATTTATATTTGCAACATAAGTTCCCACAAAAAAATTCCACGGCACGTGATTTAGCCAATTAGATCGAAGTATCAGGTGTAACGTGAGATCAAAACAATCGAATTAAACGAAAAGATTTTAACTAATAAGCATCATATTTAGGATTAGGATTAAGAATAAGAAAGAGCATAGCTTATACTAAAATTTTATGAGAAAATTTTTTTGTTATAATGCAGAAGGCAGTTTCATAGGTAAAATTTCGAATTAATAAGTTAATAGCGATTTTTAAAAAGACGTGATCACGTTACACCTGCTTCTTCAATCTAATTGGCTATAATCATGTGGCAGAAAATTTTTAATTAAAAGATTTTCTTGTAAAATTTTGTTACAAAAAATGTTTTTAGACACCAATATAATGACCCTAACCTAAAAAACGAAATTTTACTTGAAGCTTTTTTTGGTGGCAATTCTATCCTTGTCGTTCAGGTTGACAAATTTATGTTGGCAGGTCTAAACTACAGTCTTAATTTTGCTCAAAATTATATTGTTAAAAATTGCAAAAATATCAGGTGATGCGATTAATCGTCAGTATAATTTGTTTGCGATTCAAATTCTTAATTTTTAGACTTTAGATATTTATTAAAAAAATGAATGTTAATGAATTTTTAAGCTAGAATAAGTTTTTTTATGGAAACAAAGAAGATAAAAAAGCATTTAAATGTTTTAAAAAAGCTGAAATAAATAATTAAGATTTAATTGTTTAGATAAGAAACAAGTTTTTAAATTTAAACTTGAATATTGATAAAACTTATTTATTGTTTAATATGTAAAACTTAATTAGGTATTTACATGATTGTTACAAAATGAATTAAAAAGCTTAAATCATTAGGTCATATAAAACTTAATAAATTGGTTCTCATAATATAAAATATTTAAGAGTGACCTGGTAATCCAGCTTTTAATTTATTTTCAAAAAATTTTATATATAAAAAACATATAAAATTTTTTATAGATTTTTTAAAAAAACTCACATGAATAGTAAGTATACTTTCTTAGAGGTTTGTAAATTTCGACCTGGCTGAGTTATAGGAACCAATTTATTAAATTTGTATGTCCTAATTATAAAATTATATAATTGTCAGGAACTTCGATATCATCAATTGATTTGTTTGTCAAATTTAATTAAAAATAGTCTTTCAATCTCTTGCGTATCGATGGGCTTACTCATGTACGTGCAATCTAGGTGTTCTAGTAATTCAATAGGTAACATCTTGATGAGCTTATTAGCATTTAAGAATTGCTTTTTGATTTTATTCTTATCATCTGAACCTTTGATACTTTTCACCTATTCACAAATTTTTTAATAAACATTCGAAACATTAGGTCATTTTGCTGAACTAAATTTATGTATTGCATTGTGAGTTTTATATAACATCTAGATGTTTTAAAAGTAAATCCTAACCTTAGTCTGTTGTAAATTTTTACTGCAAAACTAGTATCAAAATCATAATCATCAAAAGATCTTTGTTCAGTTACCATCTTTATCATAATAATTTCAAAACTACAGCCTTAGTAAATGGTAAACTTTTAAAAATCTCAGGCACAACATATGGCATAATTCTGTAAACACTATAACATAACATATAACATGACTCTGTAAACATTATGGTCTAAATTATATTCATATATATGGTTTAATTGTTCAAAATCTGAAATATAAGATTATCTTCTACCATATTGAACTTATAAGATATTACCATTATATAAATCTGTATAAATATATCCTACATCATGAATGTTTATTAAATCATTTAAAATATCTTTAATTTAGTATTTTAGATAAGATCATGAAAATTTGATCTTAAATACTTATAAAGATTTCTTTTATCAACATATTGAAATACAATTAAGTATTAGTATTCATTTATCTTGTTTTGAGTCAAACTATATATCTTAAATCTGTTAATATAAACCAGAATTTATTAAAAATCTATAAAATATAAACCAAACCTTTTAACTTACAGTTGACACATACATTACACTAAAATTTAAAAAACCACACTAATCTAACTTTAACAACGAACTCAAACCGAATACCGAACATACTAAGCACTTAGATCCACAGTATGCTGCCAGATCTAACAAACTAATTCAACTAATTCCTATAAAATGTATTAGGATCTATTCTTAACACAATAAGTTAAACGGTAATGAAAAGTTCCTTATTACGTAAAACTTAAATATTCGCTTCTAAGTGAAGTCCTCCAGGTTTTTTGTTAGTGAAACGTTGTGTACTTTATAGTGTTACCTGGGCATCAGCCAATCAGACGAATGTCCTCCTATTACCTTATTTTACTAGTCTGGCTTTATAAATACATATAATATATAATATAGAGATAGCGATAGATTTTATTTAAAAAATATAACCTCTGAAAATAATTTAAAATTCTTGTCCAATTTATAATTTCACCTCTATTAGTATTATCCGGTCCTACTGTACATAGCGAAGCTTCCTGGTAGTAATATTAACACATACATGACTGACTCCAAAGAGACCGATCCACTACAACTCTTAAAGCATTACACAGCTAATAATTTAACATCTCAACTTCTTGATCAAAGCTATAACGTTGTTTCTAAACTTCAGGATGCTACATACATACAGTTTGATTCTTTACGATTTGATAAAAATATGCTAGCTACGTCTTTTCAAGGTCTATCACAACAGAACTTTCCATTATCTGTTCTTTATCACGCTACCACAACGAGGGATCTGGATTTTACTAAATACAATGAAGATGCGACAGAAGAAAAATTCACAATACGTCTAAATTACACTGAAAGGAAACAATGGTTAAGCTTTGTCAGTGGCTCTTCACCTTTGGCAAACGATTCCGATAGGAATTTATTTGGAAAAACTTCAGGTAACTAGGCATATTGAGAAAATGTTAATAATTCCATTCAGCTCATTCCTTCTCTGGTATAGAAAAGCGTAGGCACGATAATTCAGTAGATAATGATCATCAAAATGCTGTGGAAATAAAAAGACACAAAAAAGCACGCTTCGAGAAGGATAAAATTTGGATGGAGAATTACTTGAAAGAATATCAATCTGCTTCGAACTGGCCTTGGGAGGAATCATTGGAAAGTAAAGACAAAGAAGAGGTAGATAAAATTATTCCATTGATGATTCTAAAAAGTTCAAAATTTTTCTAATATTGCACTTTTGTAATTCCAAGAACTACTCGCAATTTATTCAATATGCAGATCTCTATTTCCTTAAAGCAAAAAGCCGTGATCTGTCTGCTCAAGAAAGACGTAAGTTTGCTATAATATTAATATAGAAATTTACAAATTTATCCTAATTATTTTTATTTTTTTTATAGCCGGCCATCCTCGTACATCAGATCCTTATGCGCGAACGCATTATCGTTCAGATGTGAGACAAAGTAGTATTACAATTTACTAATTTCCATGGATTATAAATCACAAAACACAATGCTAAAAGATATATATTACACTAAAGGTTTGAAGACACCTAAAAACCCATTGATTTTGGTACCGCCATCTCCTTCTGCATTCGTTACCATGTATAATATAAAACAATTATTACAAGATGCAAGGTATGAATGGGCATATTATATAAAAAACAAAATGGGAAAGGTACGCATTACACTAAATATGGGGCTAATTCATAGTGACTATTATAGATTCGAAGAACAAGCCAATCTTCGTGATAATCAAAAAAGGGAACACTTCATTAAAATTTGTCGAAATGGAAAGACATATGAGTTCACAGATTCAGTTGATAATTTACAGCAATCAGATTGGTTAGAGTACAAAATTTTAATGAACACATACATCGAATAATTTATAACCTGTATATATTATTTGCAGGAATCGAGTAGCTTGCGTTATTACCGATGGAAGCGAGTGGTTATTTAAAAAATACCTGTGGAAGACTCCCCAAGAAACATTCAATCATGGTATATTTTTTTTATATCGTAATTTTGGGTGTTTTTTCCTAAGAATTTTGTCCTGACCTTCATTTAACATCTACCTGTCGTCTATCGATCATCACAGTCCCAGGTGTTTATTTTAAGTATAATCACGATGAAATTAAAAAGAACGTTACTTGGAGGAACGTTCATTGCATAAATGTATGTAGATTTTCTTCCAATTTTAAAATTCAAAATATCGCATTAAAATTATCATGGTTTTAGATTCATCGAGAATTGCGTCATAAAGATTCTGAAGCTTATACCGAATTTTGGAATATAGTGGAGAAATATTAGGGATGTTAAAGTTAGACTGGTTTGGCTTAGATTCTGAAACTTTTAGGATCCAGATTAAAAACCTAAGAGTCAGGTTTTTATATAATATATTCAATATTTTGTAAGACATAAACAATAACATATATTAATAAAAATTATTTAATTCATACATTTTTTGATCTTCTGAATAACGTTATTTAATATACTAATATTGATTTATTTAATAAAATTTTTACCTTATAACGATAAGTAAAGGGCGGGGTGGGTAGAGTACCAGGTCTATCAAATAAATCTTATGGTCTTCAAATCATTTAATTTGTCTCACCAGTTGAATCGAAAAATATCACTAAATTACCAAACGATCGTACAGATGATCTTTTTATTCATATAGAGCGAGTAGATATTTAATTTTGGAATGCGATTGACCAATCAAAAACGTTATATATATGTATATATATATATAAAAACCCCCAAATGACGACCGACGAAATCACACCTGGCGACCCCACGGTTCTAACTACGACTCCAACCATCTGGAAAAAAAACGCGGTAGTAAGAACATAAAAGGAACTCCAAATAATAAATTACACGACTCCAGCGATTCTAATAACGACGAAAGTATACCTAAAAACAAACCTATTCTAAAATTATAAATTTAGATTCTAAAATTAGAACCTGGTTTTTTACTGTTTTGAACCTAAGAACTTTACCATCCCCAAGAAAGCTAGATACTGAATAAGACTTTATAATTGTAATTTAATCAAAATCTTAAATGACACGGGGCTTAAGAATTGAGTATTATCTGGCAACTTACTACGTATGATCGTACCAACAGAATAATTTGAGTTCTTTTGGTAATAATTGCGTCATTATCAAATAACGAAATTATTTGAAGAACTCGAATTATTCTGTTGGTCGTCGTAAGCCACCCGATAAAACCGTTATTGGATGCTATGTACGCAGCCAGATAAAATGAATCTTTTTGCAAATAATTCTGTTATTGACTGCTTCGCATCTAATAACTATATAGTATCAGAACGTAGCGGTAGGTTATACAGAATTCCAGTTATCGATTTGAGGTGTTAATTGTCAGGCGTACATATAACAATGATTAAATTAGATGAAAATCTTTATGATTCGGCAGCTTACTATGATTTATCTGCTGAATAAATTTATTTCCTCAACAGAAACAATAAAATCGCCGAATAATAAATTTATTCGGCAGACTATCGTCGTAAGTTACCGAATAAATCCGTTATCAGTCATGTAGGTGCCTTATAATTATTTGTACAAAAGTTTGTTGATGGCACTCTTATGAATTCTGGCCAATGATTGGAAAAGTCAAACCGAATTATTACAGTCCAAACTTTATTAGTAATTCAATACTAAGGCTGTTACTGAAAGTATCGGAAGTATTTGATATATAAAATGTTTAGGAAGACTAAATTAATGCTACAAGGATTGGAATATATCTGACATGTTACCCCCAAAGGCGGTTGGATTTAAATTGAATAATGCAAGTTTTTTTTTTCTTTTGCTTTTTTTTTTATCGTTATTATAATGCCCGTTGCTTTTATATCGCAGAAAATATATAAAAAATAAAATAAAATGAAATAATACTATGTGGTAGAAGTAAAAGTCCTCTATTCATTTACATTTTAGATCATAAAAAGAATCATTATTGTAGAAAAAAACAGACTTAACTAATCAACATCCTTTATCAGGGCAGTTTCAGTTTCAGTTTCAGCTTCAGCCGTACCATAATGAACTTGCAATTTTTTTAACTCACGATATGAAGGTGAATCTGTATAAGCAATTCCAGCTTTCATTGCAGCCGTAAGTCCTAGGAACAAACCATTTACGACTTTCTCATGCACATTATATTGTTGATCAATTTCCAGTGCCATATTAATTCCAGATCGAGAAATTTCCCATGCTTTATCCTGTATTCCATAAGCCTCATCAATGACTTTAATTTTCCTCATTGTGTAATTAACTGTCGCTGATATAGCATCTGGAATCGGCGACTGTTTAAGTGCTACAGCTCCTGTGACAGCCGCCTGAATTATATGTTCGGATAATTTTGAACTTCCAGGTTCGTTATTTTCCTGATTAGTGGATGAATTTTCTGTTTCTGAGAATTCATTTATCAACCCCGTACGATCCATAAAATCAATTAATTTGGCTTTTAGAGCATTTCTTCGTGATTGGTCTGCGTGAGCTAATTAATACATGTGTAAATCATGTGATATTTTACGCAGTAAGAACACATGTTGCGGGCAAAATTACTTTTCAAAATCCGAGAAATTTCTCCAGAGTGAAGTAATTTTACCAAGGAGAAACATTTCGGTACATCCTAGCTTAGTTCGCAACAACATTTGGTAATGTAGTGGCAAAAATTAAATTTAAAATCCAAAATATTTCTCCGGAGTAAAATAATTTCGTAAGGCGAAATATTTCGATTTAGCCCACAATACTAATCAAATGCACAAAAATGATACATACTTGGAAGTGCTTGTAGAATATGTTCTAATCCGAGCAGGTAAAGTTCCATTGCACAATCAGGATTTCCCTGATGGTCTTCTTCAACAGCATAAGCGCAGAAAGCAATAGCTCGATCAATGTCCTTTCTGTTCAATTTATTGGAAAGTTTCTTTTTCTGATGAGAATGAGGATTCGTTACAACTACTATCGAGCTTTGGTCTTTTTCATCGGTCTTAATGACAGAAGTAGGTTTATCGCTCACATCGGGAGTAGAAATGTTTCGAGAAGTGGGTTCGCTTTTTAGTTGGCTAAAATAATTACTTAGCTGAAGCTTAGCTAAAGAAGGTGACAAAAGTTGAGTGGAAAGACCCATTGGAATAGACATGTTAAAAAGACCTTTTGCGTCTCGGGCGTTCGAGTTATGATGGGAAAGTGGACGTCGTCACAAAAATTTTAAGTGAATGTTATAAATTATAGTTACCGAAAAGCTATTATGAGATGATCAAAATAGTTTTAAATGCTTACATATATATATAAATAAATGTATAAATCATTAGTTATTTGCGTGTATATAATTGAGGGACCTACCATAACAGTCCACTTTATGACAAATAAATTCGCTAGAGGGAATCAAAATTTAATTAAATCATGTCATTTAAACGTGTTAGTGAAAATATCGATTTGATAGCGGGAAATGTGAACAAAAATGTTTAATTATTAGGTAAACATTTACTTATGAAGTTTAATTTTGTTTGAGATTAAACATATGATTCTCTTATAACACTAAAGTGGTGTAGCGTTACAATTAACAAATATTAATTAGAACTAGAATTGATTTGAAGTTATGGTAAGTACAATAAGTAAGATTCTTTCCTGACATTTCAATAGTGTCCCAAAATAGACTTGAACACCTTTTTATTTTTTCTGTTTCGTTGAGTGATCAAAATTCACGATTTGATTGGCTGATTAGCATGAAAATTGTTCTGATCCCAAATTCAGAAACATTTGATTTCATGCTGTAATTTGTTTAAAGGAAGCTCAGCCACATGAACGGTTGTTCCTTCTATAAATTATTCCTGGTTACACACTAAATATGGTCAGTGCGCATTTAATAAGGGGCGTCCACAAATTACGTTATACGAACTGATAACGATAAGGTTTGAATCAATCCTGATATAGTTCAGTTTGAGTTCTGCTTTTTATATATATCAAATACAGAGCAGGTTTGACGAACGCTTTACTGCCGATATTATTCATTTTAGCAATCGATTTGGCGTTAGTCAATAAAATCGACTTGATCGATTAGAACTTGGTATACTATTCTATGACATCATAAAAAACTCGAGTGTGTATCCTTATGTCAAGAAAATCCCGAGCTACCGGTCAAAAAAAATATGGGTCGTAGTATTTCAAAATTTTCCCTATATATTTAACATTAAAATTTGTGTTCTTTAAGTAAAATTTCATTTTAAAAACTTTTACTTAGAAGTCGGAAGTTCGTTATCATAGTAAATTTTTACAATTTCTTATGTTTTCGCGTTTGTTTTGTTACACGAGATCATGTGATCTTATTGGATCCGGATAGGGATTTTCTTGACATAAGGGTACCCGTGGAAATAATAAGAAAATGATATCGCTGTACTCCATGCAATGGAGATCTGTTGATGAAAGTTTAAAAAGGGAAAGCTTTTCTTTGCAATTATTTTATAATTGGTATATAATAGGAGGATTTGACTGATTTTTTATCGTAATGAAGTTTTGATATTATATTTTCCATTCTAAAATAACAATATTTAATACGTATAATATGCTAATATCATTATATAGTATAAATGACATTTATTCTAATTCTATTGATTAATAATACATTTGTTACCTATACAGCAAGAGGTTTTCATTGGTTTTTGCAAACTTTTTAAAAATTTTATTAAAAATTTTATTGAAATTATTTATTTTTGTAGAATTTTAATAATAATAATAAATAAATAAAATTGATATTTTTTACACTTTTTTTTGATATTTTACATCACTTTATAATAAAAAATAACCCAACAACCGTTTAATAAAATTCGATGAACTTTTTACTAATTTATAGAATTCAAATAGATGGTT